ACACCAAATCCTTTGGATATCTACTGAACATCCCAATATCCACTGAATGTCCAGTCCATGGTAGATATCTATTTTATATCCATGAAATCTAATTTATAGACATGCAAATGTCCATAAATATTAGTAATTATATAGCAAATTATTAAAAAATTACGCCATTGTGCTCGCCATTGTGGCTAATAGTACCGTTCAGATATTTAAAATTAATTTTTTTAATGTGTATTCAATATCCCATGAACATCCACTAAATATATCAAAGTCTAGGCGCGAACGCAAACCATCGTGGATATCCACTAGATGTTATTCTGATTACTAAGTATAGATGGCGATACCACTATCGCATCTACTCATGCTCGACCCGACGTAATTGAGTTCGATCGAAATGTGTGTCTAATCACTCCATTAGAGACTGGAGTCGAGAATTTTCATTTATTGCTGAAGAGTCCTATTAAGGATGACTTTCTCCTTAGTGGGCAAAATCAAAGGCAGAGTGTTGAAAATATTTTGAGTGTTGAAAATATTTTTTTCTACGACCGTGTATTTTTACCCACTTTCCCGCACGCATTTTAGTTTTGAAAGTCACTTTCCCGCACTAGTGCGGGAAAGTAAAATTATGAATATTTGGCTTTACCTATTGTATAGTTTTTTTACCTCGGATGTTATAACTATTGTTACAATAGGTAATTTAGTAATTTTCAATCTACGAGCGTTACGACTATTAACAGCCAATTAACACCAACTAATTCCTCTGTACCGGCAATTTTACATAATTTACAAAATGCTACAAATTGTGTATTTAACATTAATATCCATAATAATTAGTTGTTTTTATTTAAAGATTTGTATATGTTGAAATAACATAATTTTTCAAAAATAATTTTTCCTACTTTTTTGTATATACGGTCGTAGAAAAAATAATGTTCCTAACTCATGCGTAAAGTGTATTTCCCGCACTTGACCGCTTGCCCGAACTCCGCTTCGCGTCGTTCGGGCCAACTGTAGTCGCGTGCGAGAAAGTAACACTTTCCGCACTTGTTAGGAAAATAACTATTTATCTCTGCTATTTTCTTTCGACGTTATTCAATAATCATTGGTTACTTATGAACCTCTACTAAAGATACCCATAAAATATTTTGCTGAATATCTTCTATATCCTGGGATTATAGACGGACATTTGGTTGGATATCCATATTGGATATATTGAATATCCACAAAATATATTCTGTGGATATATGGATTTCTTGTATTTTCTAGAAGATACCCATTAGATATTTTGCTGAATATTCATTAGGATATCTTCTATATTCTGGATATAGACGGACATTTGGATATCCATATTAGATCCACGGAATATTTCTAATATCCTGTGGATATATTGGATATCCACATAAGATATTCTGCGGATATCTCTGGGATATCAACTCCACAAGAAAATTTGTCTCTTGAAATCCAATCTACGCCAAGTACATCGAAACAACAATTAGTGGATCAGGAAAATCAACCAAAACTTAATTTTATCCCACCCGATATATTTAGAGGATATTCAAAGAAAACTGTCGACAAAGGAAAGATAAGGAAACAAAGAAAAAAAGGAAAATGTATGATAGCCACTGACACCCCAGAGAAAAATGAAATCGAAGAAAACTTTCTGGAAAGACAGAAAAAGTTGCAGAAGCAAAAAATAACTATACGAAATATTAGTCAAAGCTGTAAGACAAAAAAGACACCTCAGAACATAACAAAAATTAAATACAACTCTAACACTTTAAAGGATTCTAGTGAAGAATCCAGTGATGAATTTTCCGATAAGGAAATTACTTCAGATGAATACGAATCTGATGAACGAAAAGATCTAGTTCTAAATAAGTTAGAAAAACAGCCAAAAGCAGATGATTACGTATTAGCATGTTTTAAGGCAAAATCTTCAAATATTTACTATGTAGGTAAAGTGATAAAGGGGGGTGATGGGGAAACAGAAATAAGTTTCCTCCGTAGACTGGCGCAACAAAATAAATTTACTTATCCGCAGGTACCCGACATTTGTTCTGTCCAAAATAGTGATATAAGTGCCATTTTACCCAAACCGATTTATTTTGGTCAAACTAGACGACAACATGCATACCTAACTTTTCATGTTAATTTTGACAATTTGGAAGTTCGTTAATTGTTTCTGTACCTAATAAAATGACAAAAAATATTTTACACTGTTATTTTTCCTATGTCCCACCCAAAGAACCATTGTCTCATTGTTGGACACCCCATGTCTCACCCTTGGGCAAGAGTGCCCAACAGTGAGACAATTTTTTAATAAAATAAAAAATTATTATTACCTATTTCCCATTCGATTTAATAAAAAATATTGCCAGAATTATTTGTCTATGCAAGAGTTACTTAATTGGTATTTTTTATTTTTTTTGTACACGAAAACTTTAAAAGTTATTGACGAAATAAAAAAAATGTCCCACTGTAGGGCACTTTCCCCTACGTTTTGTAAGAAAATTGAAATTATGCGTTACTTTTTGTGCGGAGTGTATTTCGTACAGTGTAATGCTCTTTAACGTTTATAGGTGACTACATCACTCATACTATTAACTGTTGTCTTGAGATAGGATTATTTCCTAATTCTTGGAAAGAAGCTTTAGTGTCGCCACTTTCTAAAGTATCCAATCCTGAATCATGCAATGATCTACGTCCTATCAGCTTATTATGTATACTTTCAAAAATATTAGAAAAAGTTGTTTATCTTCAGTTAAATGATTATAGAGAAAGTAAAAGTTGAAAAGTCTTTTGGTAGGTAGAGAGGGGGTAAACGTCAAACCACGTCGGGCGGCTCCGAGAATTTCACAGTAATGTTTACCTGTCAGTGTCGTTTCATAGAATAAGTAATTTTAAATTATTATCGGCGGAACCGGACAATCGCATGTATTTATGGATTATAGATAATTATTAAACATGTATTATAATATTCAAATTATAATTTTACAAAATTTAAACAGCTATTCACAATTTATTAAACTATTTACTCGAAATTGTTATTAACATCTATAAAATAATTTTGTACGCCAATGTATCGCGTCCACTTCGGTGAGATCCGCTGCCAACCTGTCAATTTATGTGTATAAAGTGGGAGAACTGGCAAAAGCATTTCCAACTTTTACTTCTGTTCTACGTAAACAGTTCCAAATTGATAGTTGGTGATCAATCCGGATTCAGAAGTGGTCATAGTACAGTAACGGCCCTAACAAGAGTTTGTGATGACATTATCGGTTCATTTGATAAAAATATGTCAACTATATTATTTCTTTTAGATTTTAGTAAAGCTTTTGATACGATTAATCACAAACTTCTTATATCTAAATGCAAATATCTTGGATTTGATAATATGGCTCTTAATTTCTTCAAATGCTACCTTACAGACCGAAAACAGAGAGTCGTTATTGGTGGTAAATGTTCCAAATTAAAATCTATTTGCTCTGGCGTCCCACAGGGCTCTATGCTAGGACCCCTTCTCTTCCTATTATACACGTTTGATATGACCAAATATTTACAATTTTGCAAAAAACAGTTATTTGCAGACGACACTCAATTATATTTTCATTTTAATCCTTCCGAATATGAAATAGCTAATGTTCGCATAAATCAAGATTTGCATAAAATAAGCGAATATTTGAAAAGGCATTTGAAATTAAATGCTAAAAAATCAAAATCTTTGTTGTTTTCTCCAACAATATATAAGAATATGCTTAAATCGGACATGCAGATTAGGGTAAATGGTGAACAAATAAAATTTTCTCCTTGTGAAAAGAATTTGGGTTTGTATTTAGATGAAAATTTAAAATTTGTTGAACATGTTTCTCAAGTGTTAAAAAATTGTTATGTTCGTCTAAGACTCTTATATGTAAGTAAACAATATTTAACATTTAACATGAAAGCTTGGTAATCTCTAAAATAACATACTGCATCTCTGTATACTATCCTTGTCTCGACAGGGCTACTGCAAACCGTTTACAAAAAATACAAAATTCGTGTTGTCGGCTTGTTTGTAACAAAAGAAAATTTACCACATATCACCTTACATTATTTCATTAAAATGGTTGAAAATGGATTCTTTGTTCAAATTTCTTTTCTTATTATTTTTAAGCAATTTATTAAAAGCTAATTCACCATTATATTTAAGAGAACGGATTACGTATAGGATTGACGCACATGCCTTAAATTTGCGAAATCGCCATACTATCGCCATGCCACGACATAGAACTGCCATGTTTCAACGGTCATTTAGCTATAATGTCGCTAAAGTATACAATTCACTAAATACACACTTAAAATCATATTTGAGTACTAGTTCATTTAAAATAATGTTAAAATCGTATTTTCTTGGTAGCCAAGCAAATGAAAATATTTAATTCATATTCTATTTTATTTATTTTATTGTTTTATTTAATTCTTGGTCTTAATTTAAATTTGAATTCATCCGTAGACATTCAACGTAATGTAGAGTAGGTTAGGTTTAAGTTAGTTTTAGGATTTGTGATATGGTTAAGTTGAATGGCCATTTGGCTAGACTACGCCATTTATACTTTGTAAATGTTGCTTTGCTGGTATAATAAAGACGTTTATTATTATTATTATTATTATTATTATTATTATTATTATTATTATTATTATTATTATTATTATTATTATTAATTATTAAAGAGCATTAATACTGTACGAAATATCAAATACGGAAAGTGCTCTTTTGTGACTACGCAATCTTCACCTGCGAGTATTTTCTTTATATGCCAATTTGATCTATTTTGGGATTAAATTTAACCAGACATTGGTTGTCAATTTGACCTTTAGAGTTCAAATTTGATGGTCAATGTAGGATCTCAAAGTATTCTCAAATTGGAGCCCAACGTGCCGAGGATCAAATTGACATGTGGATTAAAACTCAAATTGGTATTCAATTTCCGATCAAATTCGAACTAAAAAACGGGGTTGATTTTGAAAAATGATTGAAAAAATATTAGTATTAGAACAATAACAATTTTATTTAAATTTTATGTAGAACTCAAAACGGAATCAAACTTTCTCAACATGATATTTAGCGCACAATATCGGGACAGCGCGACACCATATAAAAACTATTTGGTTGATAGATCTATATATTCCTTAAATATAATAATTTAGTCAGTTTTCACCTGGAGTAATGGGCGATATATAGAACCAATTTTTAAGTGTAGATTCGAGTAATAAACTTGCACATCACGAATCGCATTCTATACATCAAATTATTTGGATCTTACAACTATGTATTGTGATAAGGTGATTATCGTATATCTACATCGATTTTTAAATACTGCGGTCGAATCATGTGCTGGTGATGCAAGATGGCGGCATGTGTCCAGTGTCCCCCAAAACCCTCAGTATGCATCTACCGCTCGGCGTAATGCTAATCCATGTTATGCTAGCGTGATTCAGAGACAACCTTAGCCACGCTTCTGCAGGGAATTGTAAAGCCCTAAAAATAAAATATTTACACATTATAATGTTATAATATCACCTCAGTTAAATTTTAAACATCGATAAATCTAAACTGAAATTTTTAAAGCATACAGGGTGAGTCGGGAGGAGCGCACCAAACTCTAGGAGTATATTATACACGTGAAAGTAATGTAAAAAAACTCATATGTTCTTATCCGATTTTCATTTGTTTTCAAGTTATGGCGTAATTAAAAATATTCATCTAGCTTTCCACTTCTGAATTTTAACATTATCAAAGTATGCCATATGTTCAAGGCTCAAAGGCATTTGATAATTCTGACGTTTTGATGAACTGTCAGTGTACAGTAACTGAACGTTTATTTTCGAATGTATGTGATTGTTAGTGTTGCAAAATGCCAGATACTTATTCAAATTTAGAATATGCAAATATGGTGTTTGTTTATGGCTTCTGTAATGGAAATGCTACAGCTGCTGCTGAAGAATATCGTCAACGTTTTCCACACCGAAGACATCCTGATAAAAACGTATTAGAGTTTTCAACAAATTGTGCGAGGCTGGTAAGCTTCCCAGTGCTTTCATAACATCTGAACGCGCTACTCGACAAGGTTTTGTAGAAGTAGAAAATATTCTGTATCTAGTAGAAGAAGATGCAACTACTAGCTCACGGAGAATTGCCACTCAATTGGGAATTCCACAAAAAAGAGTGATAAACACACTCCACGGGCAAGGCTTATATCCTTATCACGTACAGAGAGTACAGCACCTACAACCACAGGATTACGCTAACCGTGTGGAGTTTTGTCGGTGGATAAATAATAATCATCGTGTTGTATCGAGTATACTCTTTACGGATGAAGCTGCATTTACCCGTGATGGCATTAATAATACTCGTAATTATCATGTATGGTCAGACGAAAATCCCCACGCAACAGTCGAAAGCAATTTTCAACATCGGTTTTCTGTAAACGTGTGGTGTGGTCTGGTTGACAGTTATTTAATTGGCCCTTTCATTTCGGAGAATCGTCTCACAGGAGACAACTACCTCAATTTTTTACAAAATGAATTACAAGGCCTGCTAGAGGATCTTCCTGTAAATATTAGAATGCAGATGTACTATCAGCACGATGGAGCTCCTGCACATGTCGCTTGTCAGGTCAAGCAACATTTGGACGAACGTTTTCCAGGGCGTTGGATTGGTCGTGGAGGTCCATTTTAATTGACCTGCAAGATCTCCAGACCTCACACCATTAGATTTTTGTTTATGGGGCTGGATGAAAAATGAAGTCTACAAAATAAAAGTGGACACACGGGATGCACTAATTAGACGAATTGAGAATACTGCAGCCCATATTAAAGAAGAAAGAAATGAATCAATTAGGAGAGCAACAAACGCTCTTCGTAGACGAAGCAGAAAATGTTTGGAAGTCAATGGCGGTATTTTTGAACATTTATTGAAAGAACGCTATGATTAAGAGAATTTTTATGTGTAAATTTGTTTATTTGTTAATATGCTATAACTTGAAAACAAATGAAAATCGGATAAGAACATGAGTTTTTTTACATTATTTTCACGTGTATAATATACTCCTAGAGTTTGGTGCGCTCCTCCCGACTCACCCTGTATATTGAAGGAAGTTGTCGAGAGCATACATTTTTTTTTGAGTAGTACTTTTTGTTTCCGAGAAAAAATTGGGCGATCTCATAAAATTGGAATTTTAGAAAAAAAATATAGCCTACCCTAGATAATGTCTCAATAAATACTGTAACACGAATGTGGGTGGAAACTATTTATTTTTTGAAACTACACTCAAATGATCAACAAAATAATGCGAAAACTAATTACGAACTAAACTTTTACAAATAGAACTACAAAAAAGGATATTAATCTTTAAATATTTATCTTGCCGTTGATCTTCCGTTCCCACTGACTTTTTCCAAAAATACCGATGTCAACTTGACCTGCGTGAAGTTGGCCCTACCATGTTATGATAATTACACCAAAGTTGTACTAATATTTTGCAACTAATTTGCAACTTTAGGCAACCCAGTATAAAAAAATTTGCAACCTTTCATTTTTGTTCTAATCGCTAAAACAAAATTGGTGGGCCCAAATTCACGCAGCCCCACCACATCGTCGTATTGACCTCGAACCTTTTTCATAATTTAGCAACTAATTTGCAACTTTAGGCAACCTTCGCGAAAAAATTTGCAACCTCGTGGTTACGCCGGAAACGACTCCTTAAATTGATGGGGCCAAATTCACGCAGCCCCACCACATCGTCGTATTGACCTCGAACCTTTTTCATAATTTAGCAACTAATTTGCAACTTTAGAAAACCATCGTGAAAAAATTTGAAACCTCGTGGTTACACCGAAAACGAATCCCTAAATTGATGGTGACAAATTCACGCAACCCCACCACATCGTCATATTGACCTCGAACCTTTTTCATAATTTAGCAACTAATTTACAACTTTAGGCAACCTTCGTGAAAAAATTTGCAACCTCGTGGTTACGCCGGAAACGACTCCTTAAGTTGATGGGGCCAAATTCACGCAGCCCCACCACATCGTCGTATTGCCCTCGAACCTTTTTCATAATTTAGCAACTAATTTGCAACTTTAGAAAACCTTCGTGAAAAAATTTGCAACCTCGTGGTTACACCGAAAACGAATCCCTAAGTTGATGGTGACAAATTCACGCAACCCCACCACATCGTCATATTGACCTCGAACCTTTTTCATAATTTAGCAACTAATTTGCAACTTTAGACAACCTTCGTGAAAAAATTTGCAACCTCGTGGTTACGCCAGAAATGAATTCCTAAGTTGGTGGGGGCAAATTCACGCGGCCCCACCACATCGTCGTAGTGACCTCGAATTTTTTTCATAATTTAACAACTAATTTGCAACTTTAGGCAATCTTTGTGAAAAAATTTGCAACCTCGTGTTACGCCGGAATCGAATTCCTAAGTTGGAAAGTGGGCCAAATTCACGCGGCCCCACTACATCGTCGTGTAGACCTGGAATTTTTTTGGGGCCAACATCTTTTTCTTAATCTATTTTATTACATACTAATATATTATTAAAATTTATAGTTACAATATTACAGTTTTACTTTAATAAATTAAGATGGTGATATAAATATAAGCACCATGTGCATATATTGTAATATTTAGTAGGTACATTTTTGTATTTGATACGCAAATCATAATTAAATAAAACACAATAAAATAAAATTTAACATTTTAAGAGGAGCATATTATTAAATACTAGCTTTTGCCCGCGGCTTTGCACGCGTGGTGTCGTGTTTATAATTTAAAAAAATAAATGATTATTAATTTTTATGAATTATTAATTTTTATTAATTTTAATTTTTAATAATTTTTAATTAATTTTAATAATTTTTAATAATTTTTAATAATTTTTAATAATTTTTAATAATTTTTAATAATTTTTAATAATTTTTAATAACTTTTATTAATTTTTATTAATTTTTAATAATTTTTATTAATTCTATTAATTTTTAATAATTCTTATTAATTTTTATTATTTTTTATTAATTTTTATTAATTTTATTAATTTTTATTAATTTTTATTAATTTTTATTAATTTTTATTAATTTTTATTAATTTTTATTAATTTTTATTAATTTTTATTAATTTTTATTAATTTTTATTAATTTTTATTAATTTTTATTAATTTTTATTAATTTTTATTAATTTTTATTAATTTTTATTAATTTTTAATAATTTTCAATAATTTTTAATAGTTTTTAATAATTTTTAATAGATTCTATTAAATTTTAATATTTTTTAACAGTTTTTAATAATTTTTAATGATTCTATTAAATTTTAATAATTTTTTATTTATTTTTATTTATTTTTATTTATATTTTTAGTTATTTTTCTTGTATTTTTTATTTTTCCTTCTTAAAATTTGAAAATTCAAAAACTTTGAAATACGGCATTATTTACTTTTGATGAGTAGCTACAATTCCAATTTTCAAATTTCTACAATTAAAAACCGAAAGTCTTATTCAAACTTTCACCTTCCGTTTCCTCCCTTAATATGTAAAATCCAAATACTTTTAAACATGTCTATTTATTTATGAAGGGTACCTACAATTCCAATTTTCAAACTCCCATTATACAGGGTGGCTCACGCTCAACGGGACGGAGCTTTATGGGAAAACAACCAAAGATATAAAAAATTCGTTTGGGAGGAATACGTAGGTTACAGACGGCTAAAATTTAAAATTTGTTAGATGTATACAGGATGTCCCACATAAGAGAAAATATACAAAGTTATATTATTTTTAATGGAACACCCTGTTTTTTATTTTAGAATTAAAAACTACATCAAAAATAATGTCAGTTAACTAAAGGTTCCCTATTACGATTATTATTAGTTTTCGATTTATTTGAATTTTTAAGGAAAAAAAGTCTCCCAGAAATTAATAGTTTACTCTTGTTTGAATAATTTTTAATGAACTAATTTTTTTTTCTTATGTGGGACATCCTGTATACATCTAACAAATTTTAAATTGTAGCTGTCTGTAATCTACGTATTCCTCCCAAACGAATTTTTTATATCTTTGGTCGTTTTCCCATAAAGCTCCGTCCCGTTGAGCGTGAGCCACCCTGTATAAACTTTCACTCCCTACACATTTCCCCAATTTGCCCCATTTTCCTTCTTTCCCTCATTTCCCCTCTTACCCCTATTTTCCCTCTTTCCCCTATTAAAATATGAAAATCCAAAAACCTGAAACACTGCTTTATTTATTTGTGGTGAGTACCTACAATTCCATTTTTTAATTTCCTACCATACAAATGTTCACTCCCCACATATTTCCCCAATTTGCCCCATTTTCCTTCTTTCCCTCATTTCCCCTCTTACCCCCATTTTCTCTCTTCCCCTCTTAAAATATGAAAATCCAAAAACCTGAAACACTGCATTATTTATTTGTGGTGGAGTACCTACAATTCCATTTTTCAAGTTCCTACCATACAAATGT